TAAAGAAACTATAAAACTAAAAGTGCAGATGCTTGATAATCTCCAGGTGCCATTCTTTCCGAGTTTTATTCCGGAAAACTCGGAAAGTGAGCATAAAAAGAGGCTGCCGGAGAAGAAGGGACGTGGACTCGCCTAAGACGTGCATTCATTGAAATGAAAAACCGGAAGACAGAAACACCAAACAAAAAGGATGCTAATGGATAAAAAACTAGTAGAAAAGGCATTAGTGTTGAAGCAGGCACATATTGTGATTTAATTAGATTTTCTCTGCTTTTATTCTCTTAAATGAGGTTTGTCGTTCTGAGATGAGATTTAATTATTTTTTATACGATTTTGAGAGCTCATTTATGTAAATGAAATAAATAAAAATAATTGAAGCAGTCAGGACAACAAAGGACCCAAGCCGTATTTAAAAAAATATGGAGAACATTTTTTATAAGCTTTTCAACCAAATCCTGAAATTAGATTAACATATGTTCCATTATAGCTCGAGTTTCAGTAGATTCCAGTAAAATGATTTATGACAATCTGGTGTCAATAATTTTAAAAAATACAGTAAGAGGTCGCAAAATAAACCAAAAAAAAAATCTGATGTGTCCAACACATGACTTTCCTATCTAGTTATATAAATGTTTAGAGGATAAACTAAATATATACATTGTCCACATACATCTACCTCGAAACATTTTTCTATAGATATTCATGGAAAACGAAAATACTGAAAAATTTTAATTTCCTACAATTTTTTCATTACGGTCCATTTTAGAAAAATCATGTATAAACAAAAATTATAGAGATCGATATCGCAAACAACTTTTATTTCAAAAACTTTCATAATAAAAATCAGAATTTTGCACATTTTGTCAAATTTCTCGAATACGGACCATTTCAGGAAATTTTTACATAAAACAAAAATTACAGATAATAATATTAGAAGTAACTTTTATTTGAACAATTTTCCTCTCCAAACATAAATAACAGATATATTCCATAAAATATAAAAACGGCCTCCCATAAAGTACCCCCCCAGATGTTCCGACTTTGTCCAAAATCTAATCGTTTCACGTCAGGCCGAAATAAACCTTAAGTTTAAAATTTAATGTTTTTTTCTTTATCTGTTTTTGAGTTTTTTTCAAAATTCGAAATTTACACATTTTCTCAAATATCTCGAATACGGTCCATTTTAGAGAAATTATGTAGAGAATAAAAATTATAGAGAATTATATTACAAACAACTTTTATTTGAACAATTTTTATAAAAAAATATTTTTTTTACATTTTGTTAAATTTCTCGAATACGGACCATTTTAGGAAAATTTTGTATAGAACAAAAATTATAGATAATAATATTAGAAGTAACTTTTATTTAAAGAATTTTCTTCTCCAAACGTAAATAACAGATATATTCCATAAAATATAAAAATGACCACCTATAAAGTACCCCCCCAAATGTTCCGACTCTGCCCAAAATCTAATCAGCTCATAAGACGCTGAAACAAAGCTTAAGTTTAAAATTTGGTGTTTTTCTGTGTATCGGTTCATGAGTTATGCGTTATACAGACACACACACACACACACACAGACACACAGACACACAGACACACAGACACACAGACACACAGACACACACACACACACACAGACATCATCGCGAAAATAGTCAAAACGGATTCAGGGGACCTCAAAACGTAAAAATCCGTCGAAAACTCGAGGTCGAAAAAAATCATGATTCCTATACTTTCCTTATATCTGTATACAGATAGGAAAGTAAAAAGGTGTAGCACTTCAAGTTGTAAAATCGTTGAAGTTAGGAAAATAGCAAAGGTTAAAGTCATTTTCTAGACAACTGCGGTTAACAAGATTATTATTAACGCTTTTCAAAGAATAAAACCACAAAATCTAAAACTGATTTAGCCTAAATTACCTCAATCCAAAAATGCTTCCTAAGGGACCTAGGCTCTAAAATCGGTTTAATTAAAATACCTTCAAAACGGATTTTTATTAAATGATATTATTTTGTACATTTATTGTAGATTATTGTAGATTTTTTTAATGTAGTCCTAAGAGGCTCGTTTGGGTGGGGTATTGGATATTTTTATTTTTTTTTAATTCACCATTTTGAAATCATATTTAAAATGTTTCGTTATTTTTATACAAAAATGACGCTCTTGTCTGAGAAAAATCGATTTAAGCTTCTCATGTTTCCATTGACTAACAAATAAATTTCTAAATTAATTATAATAAGATGGCTGTAGAAAATAAATGAAATAACAATTACATTGTAACAAGATAAGGGTCCGGAGACTCCGTCTCGGAACTTTCAGACACAGGTTAGTGTGTTGATGAATTTAATAAAATAAAAAACATACATATGAACATAAAATAAATTAAACAGTAATTTATAATACATACCTAAACCAGGGACAATGAACATATGTAAAAAATCCCAAATATCAAAATTTTTATTATTTATTGGTTGACATGGATATGATTAATTTTTGGTAACCCAGTAACTAACTAGGGAATTTTGCTACAACATAAATGTCAAATAACTGTTGTTTCATAACGTAAGTAAGTTAACTATGAAGGACACCGATTTGGTGCGTGTGAACTTGAGACTCTTAATTTTTTTATTTAGGATTAGGTTTATTTCAAATTTAAGTAAATCCAAATACCGAGTAAGTCACAAATAAAATTTTAATGAATCAAAAGAGAAATAATGTGGAACAAATCACAAAAAACAAAAGTGCTGAATATTATAGCAATAGGTAACAAAAAAAATAGTTAATACAAAGTTTATAGAGGGGTGTTTTGCGTAACCGTCAGTAACAGTCAGATTGACGTAACTTGATTAAACGCGGCACTATAAGTTAATTTCATACAGTTCATTAAATTTCTAGAGGCTTTCGACGGCTAGACAGAGAAAGCACTACTGAGAGGCATCGGTTGGCAAGGCCGACGGATTTACGCAATGAAAGTGCACTCTGCGCATCAAGTATTTCACTATTTTATTCAGACGTAAATGTCAGATGTAAATTTCGCTGAAACATTTCTTTTATTTTCGTTTGTGTTTTTTGTTCATTACAGTTTAATAGAACCTAAGTATGGAGTTTAATAGCAAATTAAGAGGCCGCGTGATTAACAGTCAATCTCGCGAAATAATAGCCAATGTTATAGAGTTTATGAGAAGAGAAGAAAACTTTAATTCACCTTCAATACCATTTAAAAATGTAAATAATCGTGTTGCTGCAGCCACAGGAGTATCTAAAAACACTGTCGTCCGCATTTCTGGAGAGAAAAAAGAATCGATAACCATGAGATATCGGAATTTTCATCACCAAGAAAAACCATTAAAAAACCAAAAACAGTTAATGATATAGATGAAGCTGACAAAGGTATTTTAAAAAGAATTATTCTGTTCATGTTAATCTCGGAAAATATTGTTCCAACATTAAAAACAATTCTGACTAAATTTAGAGAAGCTACAGGGTACAAAGGAAGCTATGAAAGTTTAAGAAAAATAATAAAGTCGCTAGGATTTCGTTGGCGGAAAACAAAAACAAACAGAAAAATATTAATGGAAAGGTTTGATATTCAAAAGCTACGTTTAGACTATCTGATTCGTTTAAAAAGTTATCGAGCAGAGGGCCGTCCAATTGTCTACTTAGATGAAACATACATTCATGCCTCCCACACACACCAGAAAGCTTGGAGTGATAATTCAAATGAGAGATTAAAGAAACCAACTTTCATTGGTAGATGCTTCCACTTTTGTAGTTTCTATTTCATTCTCACTGATGGTTTTACTTTGGCATTCACCTTTCTCATCGTCCCCATAACAAACAGAATGATCTGATACTACTTTTAACATTTGTTTTCTTTGTTTGTTTGGTTTAGTTGCTGAAGGTAAACAAATTTCTTTTAAATAATCACTTAGCGTGTCAATTATAGATTTACCTATGTAAATGTAAAACTATTTGTTCTAGAAGTCTCTTTAGTACTTGCGTTGAGTTAACATCAATTATTACCAAGGCAACCGACCACATAAGGCAACCGAAATACGTCCCTTTACGTCTGAAATACATGTCATTATTCTTCGCTATTGTCCTTTATGGTGATTACACCCTGTAGTATGCATAACTCATTCTAATCAGTATAAAAAAAAAACTACCAAGAAACGATTTAAAGATTCGAAAAAGCTTTTTTAAAAAATTATTTATCTTTCAATAAGAACAATATTTTTATGACTACTACAAAGGTTTAAGAGTGATACATGTGTTAACAATAAGGAAACAAGCAATTACAAAAGTCCTGATTAGGCGTTATTAGATATCTAGCAGCTGGCTTGGCGCTATTCTTGAAATTGCACTAACTACCAAGATAAAACAATTTATATATTACTACCTGCGGTATGTGAGTTGTTCATTGCGTTATTTGTACTGATCAGCACTGTTTGCCGAAATTTTTTGTGTTTGAAAACGTCAAAAGTATTATATAAAAGGCTTTTTTAAAATCTTCAAGCATTTGCTTTTACCTATTGGGTTGATGGATGGTCTTACTAATTTGTGAGGAGATTATTTTCTAAAAAGATATATTTTTGCTAGCAAGGGTGCTAGTACAGTAGGAAAAAAATTAAAAGAGAACCAACACATATAAAAAGATTATTCCTAGCACAAAAGAACTTGTCTATTATAGTCTGTGTTTCCTCTTATCCTTTTAGATAAAATTTCTAGTATTTTGATGAATACTAAACCGTATTTAGTTTTGATGTTCATTTATTAAAATTTTACTCCGCGTTCTACTTTAAACAAAAAGCACCTACATTCATTCAGTTAACAAACATATCCATACGCGTATCCAAACGAAAGATAAACCGCCAAACCAAACACCTTTATCTCCAGATATGGGCCAACAACCGCCTCCAGAGGCAGCATGCAGTCTCCCGTCGACGCGTGCGCCCCCTAGCGGCGCTTGCATGCAGAGCGCGAGACTCGCGGTCCAGCGCTTCACGTCTTCGGCCGCCGTTTGCTGTTGTTGTCGCCGACGTTGGTGGAACGACGCGCCCCGACGCCCTCGATAGACGCTCCGTACGCCCGTCGCCTCCGAGTTTACGAGTCCCGAACGCCACCGGTTTGGCGGAGGCGCCCCCCGTGGTTTTGAGGTTAACTCCGCTACACTTGTCGGTTAAGAAGTTTAATATGTGTTGACATTCATGAAGGGGATGCTTGCTGACTTTGTTTTTAATTTTTTGTTCATAGTTTTTGTCAAAGGTAAGTTTCTGAATTATTAACGAGTACTTCAAACTTTACAGCATCCCAATTAGCAGTGCAAAAGATAAACAATAATAAAAAAAGTATTTTATTAAAAGATTTCTTCTAATCCCTTTCTTCTAAAGCCTTTTTAAAAGAAATTAATATTATAAAATAACTTGCCGTTATAATAATTTTCTAGTTAAAACCATAAATAAAGTAATTTTAAATTATATACAAAATTTGAACTTATTTTTGCATCAATAATTATTACATCTAGTTTCCGCTCCCTTTCTTCTAAAGCCTTTTTAAAAGAAATTAATATTATAAAATAACTTGCCGTTATAATAATTTTCTAGTTAAAACCATAAATAAAGTAATTTTAAATTATATACAAAATTTGAACTTATTTTTGCATCAATAATTATTACATCTAGTTTCCGCACTATATTTTTAAGGCTCTATTTTCTACATTTTTCAAAAATTTTGAAATAAAACATTAGAATGAATAAAAAATAACATAAAAAATCCTATTTAAAAATTTAGTATTTATCAGATTAGCTGTTTTACTTGTAATGTTATTTACATAAGTCTAAGTAGGTGTAGTTTTCGTGTAGTATTACAATCATATTAATAAATAAACCCTTTATTTGCGAGAGTCATATTTCTTATACCTACCATGATTTTTCCACAACCAGTATGTTTTGTGAACAAAAGGTATTAGAATGAACTTATTAGAGACCTTGGAAATCAATAAAGCATACGATGTAAACTGCTTTAATTAACAGATAAAAACTAAAGACGATAATAAACCATATTAGGCTTGTGCCGATACTGTTAAAAAAAAAAAGAAAATTAATAACAGGTAAGGACCAGGTGGAACATGTAGTTAGAGTTATAACTAAAAGAACCAAAAACTTTTAAACACGAGATATTGGGAAGGGGTGGAATAGGGGTGCAGCTTAGGGGTTCTGCGCTCTGCAACGAAACGTAAGCTCCTAGCTAAAACTGTATTATACAAAAGTTATATATATTAAAAAATCTAAAACTTTTGTATATAACGTTTTTCAACATAACTTTTAATTTTCCAAGAAAATGAGAAAAACCGATTTTTTAGTTTTTAATTTTTTTCTAGCTTAAAAATAATTTAATTTACATGAAATTTGGTGAAAGTTAAAATATTTTAGTGTAACATAATCATAAATTTTTTAAATTTCAAAAAACATGTAGTTTCCGAGATATTTACATTTTCCGAAAAAAATACTCTAAACTTCCACAGAAAACTTTTTTTTCGATTTCAAGTTTAATAAGGACTCATTTTAACCGTTAAAATGTCTACTTTCAGATGGTCTATACATATATTGGCAGTAAACTCTGTAAGAATGTTGTGCAGCAGCTTCTTCAGTCGGGGGAAGTTTCTCTAATTTGAAAGTAGATTTGTTTGTTGTTTGTTGGTAAAGATCAAATCTCAGTTGATTTAATGAAATATTAAATTTTTTCTTCCATAAATACCAGCTATAAGTTGAGATCCATTTTCCGCAATTGCAATTTGATTTGCATCTTTTTTATAAAAAATACTAAGCTTGATAAACGTATATTGATCAATAAAGATTTTATTATTGTTTTTTTCCTTTTCCAGCAAAACCAAAAGTAATATGGCAAATCGAGAAAGCGTGAAGCAATGCTATTATATCTGTGTACGATTCGTGTTTGAAACAATGAGATGTATAAAATAAATAATTAAAAATATTCAGAGTTGCAAAAATTTACTTTTCTCAATTTTTATAGATTCCATCAAAAATGAACTATCAACATGTATAGAATATCTGAAAGTAGACATTTCACCGGTTAAAATGAGCCCTTATAAAATCTTGAAATCGAAAAAAACATCAATAAAATTTTTGTGGAAGTTTAGAATATTTCTTTTGGAAAATGTAAATATCTTGGAAACTACTAGTTTTTTGAAATTCAAAAAATTCATGCTTATTTAACACTAAAATAGTTTTACTTTGACTAAATTTCATCTAAATTAAATTAGTTTTACGCTAGAAAAAAATTAAAAAGTGAAATATCGGGATTTCGTCATCTTCTCGGAAAATTTGAGGTTATGTTGAAAAACGTTATATACAAGTTTTAGATTTTTTCATTATCTAAAACATTGTTAAAAAACACTTTTTGCTAGGAGCTCACGTTACGCCGCAAAACGTTAAAACTCCTAAACTGCACTCCCATTCCACCCCTTCCCATTATCTCGTCTTCAAAACGTTTTGGTTCTTTTAGTTATAACTCTAACTACATGTTCCACAAGGTCCTTACCTGTTATTATTTTTTTTGCAGCATTTTGGTACCAGCCTATATTAAAATTAATTGATTTGCTATTTTTGTTTGTTGTTATCTTCGATAACCTCACAAAGCTACTACTTTTCTTTTCTTCTTTTTCTTAGGTGGTCAGTGGTCTTGTTCCATTATTATTTCTAGTGCAATATTTTCAACAGTATTGAAAGAAAGAAAAAAGCAGGTGTCTTAGTTCTACTAGATTTTACCATGACCAATCATAGTCTTCTTGTATTTTACAGATTTGATAAAATCTCCTTTATACTAATAAAAAGTACATTAGTAAACGATCACAGTTGGTTTCAGTAAACTGTACAAAATGAACATCCGTTTAAATTAGGTCCGGCATACCACAAGGTTCGGTCCTAGGATACCTGTTTTTCATTCTTTATGCCTTTAACTTTTAAATACCACGTAAATAACTATGCAGTCAAAAGTTTTGCTGATGAAATTCAGATATTCCTTGACTTCATCAAATTAAGTCATTGCTGCAGTTCATATAAATAAAAAAGATCTTAAAAAATAATAATTCAGTCGACACAGTGTTTTAATTATAACAAAAATGAAGGTATTTTCCCGGAAGAATTAGAGATGGATCGAGACCCAGAAGGGGTTGAAGGGGAGGAGGATGAAATAGCTGTCGAGACAGCAACACAGGGGTTGAAAAAACAGGGGGAAGGGACGCGTGGAGGAGGGGAAGGAAAAGAGCAAGAGCAAGACGATGAAGAGTATGATTCTGATGACATTGAATGGTTTAACGTATGATAAATTATAAGCATTGCTATGTATTTCGTATTTTCAACATGTTTTTCATAATAAAAGAAATTTTTTAGAAACTTTCTTATTTTTCTGAAATCCTGAACCTATATTGTTCCGATAGAAGTTGGCAAAAATTTTGCAAAAGATGCAGAACATATAAAGGGTCTTCTCGGGTCAATATTTATCATACTCTAAAACTAGTAACCCACTATTAGGCAAAGCGCCGGGCTTTGAGACTGCCACATGAAAAAAAAAAAAAATTTGCACTTTTCTATTAAATTTTGCAACGCAAATTAGACAGAACATTCGGCAATATAGATGAGATACCCCAAGCGCTACTTTACAGAAAAAATCCCGTAGAATCCGCCAATAATTGTCGAAAGATCGATTGGTGCCCGGATTTCCATTCATAGGCCCCATAATTTAGTGAGCAGAGGTATGCCGCTGGCGCCATCTACAATTGGTCTCCAAAGTTCAAAACATGAAAATCAATGTATTTCCAACTCCCTCGAGCGGAAATTCAGTGAGAAACTAACATTTCTATTCAGTGCAAAAATTCGGGCTTTTTCGAAGGCTATTTTTGCATAAAAATATTCGTCTTGCGAAAAAAATGGTGGGAACCATTTTTGTAGATAATGATACGATCTTCATTTTTTATCTAAACAAAAATTGTCTAATTTGTATATTTTGGCAGATATTAGCGAGAAACCATTTTTTCGGACTTTAGGAGCCATTTTGAGCCCTTTCCGACCCAGCAGTATTGGTAAAAGTTTTCGCCCTTGAAAGCAACCGTCAAGATCTAAGAATTGAGCCACAAAGGAAATCTGGACCGACTTAATGACAGCTTTGTATATTTTCAGGTCTTCAGTTACTGGACTATGAAGCAGTGTTCTTTTTTTTTTATTTGCAATTTTTTGTGGTCGACTTGTTTCTATATCGAAAAGAAACTCCTAAAGGTGATTGGTCGGTATGGATTTATGACGCTAATGCAGAAAATTTCCTTAAGGAACAATATTTTTTTGTAATATTTAATATATTCACGACCTTCCCTGAAATCTCACGTGACCCCACATGTCGGAAACAGCTGGAATATGATAGTAAACTAATATTAAAGTCTTGACAACTAAAATACGACATTTGAAATATGTATAACTTCCAAAATAATACAAAAAAATGTTGTTTCGCGTAAAATTCGTGTAGCCGCTCCGCTACTGACTTCAGGTAGGTGTATTTGCGGACGTATCAAAAGTGGGTGTAATAAAAAGACAAGGAATTCCTGCGAAGAACTGCGAAAAACTTTTCCTCCGGTAACTGTTCCTATTCATTCAGTGCTCCCTGCCGGAAAGCTATAATTCAAATTTTCGTCGTTGTAAAGTCCTTTCTGGAGTACCTAACAGTTAAGTAAATGTTAAGGAGGAGAGCTAAAGATAACCCTTAGCGATTCGTGTAAAAAGGAGTTAACAAGAAAGTTCGAGTTTCAGTGTTGAGAAAAAGGTTGTTTTTAATTTTTAATTAAGTACAAGCATGTTTTGTTTCAGAATAAGACGAGAAAATGAGGGGTAGAATTTTGCTGTCGGCGATTGTGAAAGAAGATTGTTGGTGTCTGTTGTAATTCTTGAGCCTCGGAATAAAATAGGATTAATGAATTCAATTTGGGATGTTTACTTTTATAATGAAAATCCTCTCTTTTACAAAACTAGATAATAATAAAAGCAGTCTTTATACATACATTTTTATTTAATACAATGATCTTATTATTTTACCATTTAAACAATATTTCTTTACTGTCACTACTTAATGTTATTCTTCCAAAACCACTTATAATAACAAAAAGAAAACACTCTCACTCTTAAGTCTAAAAAAAACTTCTGAAATATTTGCCTCTTATCTATTTTACACGTATTTCGTTCTAATTCTGAAGGACAGAA